GCAGCAAAAAAAAAAGACAGCACAACAAGGAACGAACCTAGCTAATAATGTCGGCAGATGCATTCGTGGAAACGGCCTACGAAAAGGCGATATTTCCACCTTTTTCGAACTTGGGCCATATCTTCATGGCCCATTAGTGTTATGTCTGCCTTTTCGAACTACGGCCATTTTTTCGTTGCCCATTAGTGTTTTTTTTGCCTTTACAGTTTGAAAGTGTGCTACTACCGCACTTGTTTGTTCTTATAATTTATTATCACTAAGCATCCAATCGACGAAGACTATTACGGTTAATAGGTATAGTACATAATAATTATAGTATTAAATTTTATTATTATTAATGTTTCCCTTGCTGTGTCGCTATAATGATCAATTCCTTGTATGTTTCACGCGTCCCTGCACCTGATCACTGAAAAAGTCGCCTCTTTGTCTTGATACGGAATGTGCCATTTGTTTTCTGCAAAGCAGAAAGTTTGACAGAGAAGCAGGAGGAGGAGGTCTTTTTCTGAAGCTCAAGTGTGAAAGAGCAGCACCCACTTATCATCATCAGGCCGTTGTTCTTCCGTCATGGAGGCTGCAGGAGCTCTTTCTTTTTCTTCCCGACGAGTGGACACGATGATGCTTTTACACTTGTGCCTCTCTGCTGCTTCTTTCTGGGTCGAATCTGACGCTTGTGTCCACTGGGGTGAGGCTTGCGGACCAGCATATTGGTGCTGTGACAGAACACAAGATGGGAAGACCCGATTGGAATGCCAGTGGGATGGAGGCAGCTTTTGGTGTCAAGCCTCACCGTGTCAATGCGGCTACGGTCCGTTGGGATCGTGTCTTCCGTGCGGTAGTCTTGGCAACGCCAAGGTACCAAAAGTTTCCCTTCGTCGGAGCATAGCCGCATAGATGGCTCACTGATTTAGAGGCACCTCCTCCTCTCTCTATTGATCTATCGATTGATTGATTGGAAACATTGATCGATTGACAGACTGATTGATTGATTGATTGATTGAATTGATTCATTGATTCATTGATTGAAAGAATGATTGCAACATGGATCGATTGACGGACTGATTGATTGATTGATTCATTGAATCTATTGCTTGATTGGTTGAATTGCATGATTGAGATCACAACAGGCAAGTATACACCAAGTACTAGGATGCATGATGGCTCTTGGTTCACTTGGTGTGTTGTATTCAGCGTAAGACACTACAGCTTGTTTTGTGTGAGAGGGTAAGGCATTGACTTGGCCTCGCGACGTTTCCGTATGGTTTCATTACGTAACCTTTAATAGAACGCACAGGGTAATCATTATGATAGCTTCATTTATGGACGGAAAGTTGTGCCGAATACGGCTATCCTGACCCTGCGCTGTTTTCCTGCTTTGGTTTATGTCAGTTTCCTCAAATTTTAAAGCCAAGTTGGATTTAAAAAAAAAAAAAAAAAAAAAGGCAGCTCAGACTCACAGTACAGTCCTTTCGGGGTAGACTGTCAGGACCCCTGCCTCTTGCTCTTTATTTAAATGAACTTCAATTTCAGCCAATGGCATGCATTCTGTTTGGGGGAAGAGGGTAGGGAGAAGCCTGGGGAGTCCTTTCCCCGGCCTGGGGGCCCCGGAGATAGCCGAAAACCAAGTGACTTGTCACCGTGAACCGCCGTTCATGGGTGCAGGGCCTCATGACTGGCTGTTCAGTGATCACTTAAAGGTGCCAGTCACGGCCACCGAGCTGACACTGCTGGTGGCTTATGGACGAAGAACAACAAAAGAAATCTACAACCACCATAAAGCAGATATCGTAATAAAATTAAAACCAAGAATTAAATCATAACTAAAAGTCTAAAAGGGAAAATTTTTGAAATGCCCCTCCGAAATCCATTTGTTTGCGGCATGCCCCTCTGACGGCCGACTTACCCTGTCGTGCCCCTCTGCAATGATTCGAGTTTCCGAAAAACCCCGGTATCGTTTGGGCCTGAAATATGTTCAAAATGCCCCTACCGGTACCGGTTCCAAATTTCCAGTATGCCCCTACCGGATAGCCGTTCAGTACAAACCCAAAAAATTTCCTCATGCTACTTCCGTCCATAGGATCGAATGAATCTTCCGCTAGAACACGGAAATATACACCACCACACTTGTGTGTGTGTGTGTGTGTGTGTGTGTGTGTGTGTGTGTGTGTGTGTGTGTGTGTGTGTGAGAGAGAGAGAGAGAGAGAGAGAGAGAGAG